CAGCCACAGTGACTTTAGGGCAGCTACCTGGTGACAGAGGCCACACAAGCACAGGGACAGGCACCCGGGCTGAGCATGCCCGGGTGTGGAGCACATAGAGCGTGTGCAGGGGCCGCCCACTCCTAGGCGTGACATGCGGGCACGTCACCCGGCAGGCAGCCTGTCGGCGTGTGCCAGGGGAGCTGGCAGCACAGGAGCACGCAGTTGTGCCAGGAGGTGCACCCAAGCGGGGTCCAGCCGCGGCACGGCAAGCTCTGAGCACGCCAGCACCCACACACGTGGGCACAGCACCCACCACCCACGGGGCAGGGAGAGGACTGCGGGAGTGTGCCCACAGCCAGGGGGGGCCACGGGCACCTGCAGCACGTTCAGGGGACACGTGTGGTGTGTGCAGGGACGTGTGTGTTAATGCCTGCAGTGGATGCCAGCGCAGGGCTGGGGTGTGCACAGGGGACGCGTCGTGTGTGCAAGGATGTGTGTAATGCATGCAGGGGACGGCGGGTGGGCTGCGTGTGCAGGGCAGTGCGGCCTGGGGTGGGTGTGTGCACAGCGGACCCCTGCAACGCAGCCAGTGGTGCGTGTGCAAGGCATGCGTGTGCAAGACGTGAGCTGTGGGTGCCTGCGCGGGGCTGTGTGAGGGTTGCGTGCAGGGGACACACGGGGTGTGCGGGGGGGCGTACCACATGCCGGGGGCTGTGCCAGCAGATGCCCCGTGCTGGTGTGTGCTGGTGGGGCCGGGCAGCCCCTTACCTTTGAACATGGGGCTGACCCTCCAGACGCCGAGGCAGCCCTGGCTTGCAAACTGCCCGAAGGAGAGCTCCATGAAGAAGAGGGGGATGCCGCAAAACACCAGCATGATGAAGTAGGGGAACATGAAGGCACCTGGCAGGCATGAACCAGAGGGTGAGAGAATGGGCAACGACGCTGAGCACGGCCTTGCCCCCCCTCTCCCTGCACCTGGGGCTGGCAAGCACCACATGGGGCTGGGCACACACCCCCACCCCTGCCCTGGGACACCCCACTCCCCCAGCTCCCCGACACCCACCTCCCCCATTGCGATAGCAGAGGTATGGGAAGCGCCAGACGTTGCCCAGCCCCACGGCGTAGCCCACGCTGGTCAGCACGAACTCGATCTGGTTGCCCCAGTTGCCACGCTTGACGCTCTTGTCCTGTTTGCCCTGCTCCCCAGGCACAGCACCGTTCTGCAGAGAGAGACCGTGGGGTGCGTCAACCAGGGACCTCCCCACCGGTTCCATCGGAGGGGTGACGGCTGCTG